TGTGGTTTGGGTGTCTTTAGTTTTAAAATGCTCCCATGTGATTCTAATATGTGGCTGAAGATGAGGAAGACAACTGGTCTACGACCTCAGGTGGCCAACATGGAAGTGTTCCACATGTGTGGTTACTCCGAAGAAAAGGCTGAGCATCCATCAGCATTTGATGGGATCTGTATTCCTATCTCAATAGTATTGTTCATATAGCATAGAGAACAATCAGAAAGAAAACCAAGAAAATTAAGACATTAGACCTTTAGCCTCTGCTTGTAGTATATGTGCTCAATTTTGAATACAAGACAAAGTGAGAAACAGTCATCACATTAATGCCTAATGTATAGAAATAATACCTCCCAATTTACATATAGTGGAATTTAGTATTTTCTTACGCAATTTAAAGTAAATCTTGCAGTTGACATTTAACCACACAGACATATAGCCCAGTAATTGGCTCAGCACTGCAATGTGAAAATTTTACTTTTGGTCAATTATTGTTCTTCCTCTAAGTCCCCAAAGAGAACTTATTAGTCTCACTCTCCTGAAGAGAACAAATAACAAATAAAAACTGAAATTCTGCAAGAGATTGCCTATGAATACTCCTTTATGCCACCCTTAAAGCTGACATTAAATATTAAAAAGGAACCTTTCAGCCAGATGCAGTGGCTCACGGCTGTAATCCCAGCCCTTTCTGAGGCCAAGGTGGGAGGATCACGAGGTCAAGAGATCGAGATCGTCCTGGCAAACGTCGGTAAACCCCATCTCTATTAAAAATACAAAAATTAGCCGGGCCTGCTGGCACGCACCTCTGGTCTCAGCTACTTGGGAGGCTGAGGTGGAAGAATTGCTTGAACCCAGGAGGCGGAGGTTGCAGTGAGCAAAGATTGCACCACTGCACTCCAGCCTGGTGACAGAGCAAGACTCCGTCTCAAAAAAATAAAAAAGAAAGAAGCCTTTCCCCAAATGTACTTGGGGAAAACAAAAAGTGGGAGGAGAGAATGTAGTAAAACAAATTCCTTTTCACCTGGTACTTCAGAGTTTTGTTGGTCTAGATACTAAAAATATTCCTAGAAATGCCTTAACGTGTAACCAGGTATGGAATCAACTTCTGGGCCTTAAGGAAAATAAGTAAGTCCATAGTTCCACTCCCCACTCTCTGCTGATTCCATTTTGGATGTCTTTGTTTTTTTAATTTTCCTTCTTTCCTGATCCCGTTTGAAAGAATACTTAGGTTTTTTTTTTCTTTCTTTTTAAATTTTCTAACCAACCAGATTCACACCACAGACATCGTATTTCTTTGTAAAACCTTCTTCCTGCCCCAGCCAGGGTAACCCAACAACCTCCCATGACTGCCGAGACCTCCAGACTGGACCCTTTCCTCTCACTTCCTCCAACCTCTATTGAAAGGGCCTCAGTGCCTGGTTCTGGCTCCAGCTTGTCAATAGCAAGTCATGTGGCCTTAGTTCAGTCTTACCCCTGCGGCATCACTACTCCTGCGTTTAAAAAGGTGCAAGAGGATGTGGATGTTGTCTGAGGTTCCAGCTGCTTTTTATATCCAGAGTGTTGCCCATGGCCCCCCTGCTCCTCCCCAGAAGACCGGGACATGGAGTTGTAAGGAGGTGGCTTTCTCTGCAGTGGGTCCTCCTTCTGCAGACCTCTGTGTCTCCCTATATCCTGCACCCCAGCTTGACAGGAAGTTCATGGAAATTCAGGGGTGATTTCCTCTCACTTGTGGATGGTGCTTCTCCCTTCAGCCAGTCCAATGCTCACTCTCAGTTCAAGCTCCCAGCAGGACATCGGTTTGCCCCTGGGATATCACCACTTAGCTGTCCCTCCAGATGCAAGCTTCAGGAGGACCTGACAAAAATGCTCATTGGATTATTTTTTCTCTCTCCCCTACAGGCACCAAATACTGCCAGAAGGATGCGGAGAATGAAAGGATGTCAGGAAAAAAAGGGGTTCACAAGCTTTTCCGCTGGATGAAAAAACACTAAAATGGCAAAGCAAGTTCAAGTCCAAACACAGGTCACTGAAGGGACCCTTCACCGAGGATTGAATTTTAGACCACAGAATGCTCTTGATGATTTCAGCCCATTAGGCTCCTTTGATTCATCCCCCTCGAGTTGTGATCACTACCAAGGGAGTCCAATTTGCAGATGGACAAACAGCATTGACAAGCATTAGACCTGCTCCTATCAATCTCTGTCCTGTAGAGGACAGGAGCCCAGAGGTTCTGGCAGGGGACAGCATGTCACCCGGGACTCTGTCAGGGCAGAGTACCAACCATGTTACCTTCTTGCTGAAAATGCTTTGTTTGTAGAGGACAGGTCAGCTCTCTGGCTCAAAAGTCGACATTCTGAAGTCAACTGAAATTGTCCTCATGATTAATTCAGCTTAAACATTTTTCCAGCAGCACCGCAGGGTCAATGCTATGAGCTTCCTACCTCAGTCCATCTGTGGGCAGAAAAGGCCCAGTGTGTCCATCCCCATTACCGTGATACCAGCTAGAATGCTCACTTGGTTAAGGAGGAGTCTAGGAGCTCTGTCCCTTGTAAAGA